CATAAGTGTCGTTTTCTCCTTTGCAATATTCATCAGCTTTCGAACTCCCCTCCTCCCCTCCCCTCACCCATCGTTGTTCCTCCAAACTACTTTTTTTCTCTCGCTCACTCCCTTTCAATTGTTGTCTCTCTTTTTTTTGTGCATCGCCGTTTTGTTCTTCAAGATTTTAACATTATTTTTACAGACGTTAGCATTGTAAATATTTCTCATTTTCAAAGGCTTCCCTGCGAGTTACACTGATAAACCCTTGTAGATTTATGCTTCCTTCGTGCATTTCATTGAGTGGTGATGGTTTTGGGGCTTTTTTGGTTTTTATTTCCTTTTCTTTGTTTCTGTTTCTGTTTGTTTTTTTTAAAATACTGTCTTGTTAATTGTCAAAATAGTGAATATATTATGCTGAGTCTGTTTCCGGCTGCTGTTTCCTATTCCACCTCGGGTACCTAATGTTAAGCTAATTTCGTCCTGTTTCAAACACTGATAAATAAGAACTAGCTTGTTATCTCTCCCCTCCCTGTCTTCTTTTCATTCTTATTAAAGTCTTTTTGGAATTTCTTCTGCATTATACACCATTATATTAAATCGCGTAAATGGGTTGGGTTAACTTTAGGTCAAGTTGGCTATAATACCTTTTCTAAATGTCAGTATTGTGTTCCACAAATTTCCAATGATTCCTTGCCCTGTGGGCTTTTCTGGCCGGAGAAGTCTGAATACGTCCCGGTCATTACAGTAGATTTATACAGCCCGGTGAGGGGATTATTTAGGATACAACGCTCCTGGGGAGCACAAAGCATGAAAATGTAAAGGGAATCACTTCTGAAAATTGCGTGTCGTTTCGGAAAGCTCTCTTGCGGATGTAAAAATGAAATGCAGTAAATATGAATAAAAAGTATCAATGGGGAAAGGAAGAAAAAAACACAAGAGGAGGGGGCAAAGGAGAGGAGGAAGTGGGGGCAGAAAGTGGAGACGAAAGCAGACGACAGAACATTGCTAGAGAGTAGGAAAGGAGGTGAAAGTAGACAATTTTAGAGAAGAACATTTTTCGGTCGCTACCCGAATTCGAACCCGGGACCTTTGGACGAGAGGCCAACACTTTGACCTCTAGGCCACGAGAGCACCCCCC